TCCATCCATCCATCCATCCATCCATCCATCCATCCATCCATCCATCCATCCATCCATCCTGATGGCTGACACTTCTTTTTTTGTCAAATCAAATGACTGGAATGGGAATGAGAAAATACAAATTTCAGGTGCGTTAGCTCCAAATTTGCTTGATTTTTTTATTTTGTTGCCAGGCTAGCACCGCAGTCTCTAATTCATGATCTAAAAATGTGTAAAGAACCCCAAAGGAAAGTGCAGTGGTTTAATTGTGCATATTTGGACAGATATGTAATTATTAAAAATGCTGCAATCGCAGTAAAAAAAAAAAGGAAATAAAACTTGATGAGACTTAAACCAAACAAAAACTGTGGATGGATAAACAGGAATGATGAAAAATTACTCAAATGAATGCATACTGAGAAAAACTAACGGTGTGACAAAACAAACGTGAAGAAAAKATTAGGATTTACCAAAATAAAACAGGAAGTAAAGCCAGCAGAATCAAAACAAAGTCTCAACAAAACAAGAGTCATAAAATAAACAAAACAATTTATCAAAAAGAAAATAAAAATTAATACAAAAAAACACAAAACTTAAATCTAAACCCTGTAAATGATCACAYGATATGTTTATTTATTTTATTTATAAGACATTTTTTAGTTTTACAGAAAAAAATACTTTGGTCAAAGAAAACAAATATGAAGAGTAACAGATTTCAATTGTTGAGGTTTATTATGGATTTTTTTTTATTGTTTTACACGTTTTACAAATGGAACTTAACTCAGTAATGCAGGAAGTATTTCTTGCCCCAGTCAGAGTGGATTTAATCTGCTGACTCAGCAGAATTTTTCTGTTAGGCAGACTCATAGTGCAGTTAATTATGTCTTGATCCAAGTCATCATTATGGCAGCATTATATCTCTTGTAAAATGGCAGTGATAAGAGGATTACAAGGTGGAGGAAAGAAAAGGTTGGGACAAGCATAGCTTCCAGCAGGTTTTAGTATCTGTTTGTGCCTGCATTGTYATGTTCAAACAATAATGATTTGCTTTCTTTGTGAATCTGCTGATAAAAAAATAAAAAAAGATTCCAGTCTATTTAATTTCTGGCCAAAGAAACTATTTCCTTTTTGACTTTAATGTAATCCAGATGAGTCGTATTAGCCTTCAAGCTGCGATATTTAAACTGCTCTGTGGGTAAAAAACAAGAAGTCCTACTGTTTCATTTCTTTGCTTGCATATACATCATTTTAGGAYGCAGAAGTTGCTTTTTCTTCAACATTAATCATTTCTCTTCCTTTCAGGGTGGGTTACAGAGAGTGGATGTTAAAATTCACAGCTATCTGGTAGGATGTGAGGAATCTCCAGTTCCTCACACTCACTTCTTGTTTGTGACTGAAGTCTCTTCTCTTATCTGTGGGAAGTGTTTGGCAGAAATGAAGCAGAACATGAGGCACTTGTTAGGTCTTTGACATTTCCTGAAAAACTACATGAAAYAAATCGTCACTAAAACTAGTTCACCTGCAGCAATTAGCTTGCAAACATGTGTTTGTGAGTCTGTGCTGTCTCAAGCCTTTTGTTTTCCGGAGCAGCAAATAAACATGAAGAGCCTCCTTAGCAGTTTACAACTATTAAGCATCTCGGTGACTCATAAAGTGAAAAAAGAAATATATAATGAAAAACAGAATTTGAGGTTTGAGTCCACATTTGGAACTTGTGAAAAGAAGGAATTTAAAAATGTAGGCCAAGCAGAAAAAGGGACARACAGCCAGAAGATGTTTAGCTTGTCTTTGAAGTTTGAAGCAGGAGAGAAGAACACAGTTGTGTCCTCAGGTTTACACAGTGAATGTAAACCTTTTGTCACTAGAGAGCACTGTTTTGACAGCACAGGGCAGAGGAGATTGTGGGAAAAAAAGATGTAAATGATACAAGACACTGTTGTATTCTGGCTTGGCATCTGGTGTATTACCATGATAAAGTTTGTCAGTATCCAGTCCAGCCTTTTCCTGCATCCCGCTGGTAAGCCTCCTTCATTTACAACCATTACAAGCTGCAAAAGCTTATTTTCTAGGAAAACGAGGACGCAAAACTGCTCAAATGTCTGGACCTCCCCAAGTTTGACCTCCACCTCATTTTAAACAGTCAACTCGAACTGTGTCACTGTTTGAAACGTGTCACAGAAACACCTGGCTAATGACAAAAACTGTCCTGAAAYGGAACTAAAAGACCTAAATTGAAATTAGAGGGAACTTTTGTCAAATTAGGCAAATCATTTGTGGCTGAATTGAGAGAAGTGAATGTTCCTGAATTGGCAAGACTGTGTGGGTATGATGTTGAACTTATGGATGCAGTATGACAAAATCACATGCCAAATGAACATTGAAGAACCACAAGGAAACTCCCAGGTTCTGGAGTTAACTCGAAGCTGGTGTTTCAGTATCTATTTCACTAGAAACTGTCTATAAGCAACTTTTTTCAA